CGCCGCACACCGGAGCAGCAGTGACGCGACGCTCGGCGAGGTAAGTAAGAAGACACCTGGCGCTGACTCGAGTATAAGCCGAGGGGGGCACTTTTTCAGCCCAAAAAATGGGCTGAAAATCTCGGCTTATACTCGAGTATATACGGTATAAGGCCTACAACTCTTCCACTCACCGCTCCCTTGTCTCTGAAAAGTGATGCAAGACTACTGCGGTCATCGGCTATGGAGCAGCTGTTACAGCTTCACGCTGCTTTACATTTAGATATTGGCATGCTTGGACCCCCGTCAGCAGGAATAAGGGGCAAGTATGTGTCGATGGGATTTTGCACCCTCATACAAGTCTATGGGCATGAAAAACCTGCTTAAAAAGGAGAACTATGAGGGGGGGCTTTTCACTCACCTCATAGTTCTAGCCGACCTGTGACAATGAGACTGTCACAGGTCGGCTCAGTAGATCGGGAGGTGAGCGAGCACATACCGGCGTTCGCTCACCTCTCGATCCTGTCACGGCTCTCTGCCATGACAGGGGAGGGGCTGCATTCCCCCCTCCCCGCTCCGCCAGTGCTGACTGGCAGAGCTGACGGGGGAGGGGGCGGGTACAGCTGGCTCTGCCTCTAGATAGGCAGAGCCAGCTGTCAGTCAAGCTGCTGGGCGGATCCCGGCACAATTGTCGGGATCCGCTTCAGCTGCGGCTTCTCAGTATACCGCGAGCAGCAGCTCCCTATATACTGAGCTAAGGGTGAAGGGAGGACGCTAGTTTGTGTCCTCCCGTTACCCTAAGGAGAACTATGGGGAAAAGACTTAACCCCACAGTTCTCCTTTAAAGTAAATCAGGAGGTCAATGGATTCTGAATGATCTCAGGAAGCATCTCAAACTTGTCGACAAAAAGCCCAAAGCCCTCGTTCACACCTGAACGTTTTGTAGCGCGTTCTACGCTCGACGAACGTTCTACAAAACGCTCAAAAATATAAATCCCATTGTATTCAATGGTCTCGTTCCCACCTTGGCGTATTTCCACCCGTCCCTAACGCCCTACAAAACGGCCCACGCCTGAAAAGGTACAGGTACTACTTTGGGCCGTTTTGTTGCGCGTTTCCATTGGGATACTGGCAAGTAGCCTTCGGAAACACGCGACAGACACGCATATGCAATACGCCTAGATGTGAACGAGACCTAAAGATGTGTCGTCTACAACAAGGAGCAACTTGTACCCGTCTCAGCAGATTGCTTACGTGTAATACAGAGCAAGCTCCAGGACGCTGCATAAGTTTACACACCCCAGAACCTAAATGGGCTAAGCTGTAGCTAACATGCATCGGATAAGACCTACCCCGGGCCCAATTTGGCTTTTTCCTCTGGCGTCATGTACCTCCCTCGCGTGGACACCGCTGCCCCGCTCAGCCGACTGATCTGAAGAGAATGTAAAATACAGAACATGAAAATAGCATGGTATGCTGCCAATGTGTCCGTCAGCCTAACAACGTGATGATGGATCTGCTACAAGGGATGAGCGAGGCCAGTTTGTGATCAGGGGGGTTGACCCCGGTAATGAGGAGAAGGGTTATTTATGTCTATGGTTGGCCCATGTGGGGAAGGGGAAGTATTCGTATTGTCTATGGTTGACCCATGTGGGGAAGGGGGGGGGGTGTTCGTATTGTCTATGGTTGACCCATGTGGTAAAGGGGAAGAGAAGGGGGGTGTTTCGTATTTATGGTTGACCCATGTGGTAAAGGGGAAGAGAAGGGGGGTGTTTCGTATTTATGGTTGACCCATGTGGCAAAGGGGAAGAGAAGGGGGTGTTTCGTATTTATGGTTGACCCATGTGGTAAAGGGGAAGAGAAGGGGGTGTTTTTCGTATTTATGGTTGACCCATGTGGTAAAGGGGAAGAGTGGGGTGTTCGTATTGTCTATAATTGACCCATGTGGTTAAGGGGAAGGGGGGTGTATTCCTGATGTCTATGGTTGACCCATGTGCCCCAGGGGAGGAGCCAAAGCTCTGCCCCAGGGGAGGGACTATTCTTTACAACTCTGGAGAGCGAAGCGATCGGAGCTGTGCAATTTTTGAATCTGGTTGAACAAGTCTGACTTGCCCAGCAGCATACATGTACCCGGGCTTCATGACTCAGTGAGTGAGGAGTAGACAACAAACCTCGTCTTGGGTCTGGCCCCTCGTTAACAGATTCCGGCACGTCAGAGGCACATCGTTGATCTCCACTTCGGCCACCACCAGGTCATCCTTGCTTTTGGCACACGTGCCAGGTTTGCCTGGTATCTGCGCCTGAGAGGACAAAAGGAGCAAAAAGATTTTAAAAAATAAATTAGGTGCAGAAAAGAAGCCAAATCAGTCCTAATAACTACAGCGTTACTGCGGCCCAGCTCCGAGATGCACCCCTCAACTCCCCCTCCCCGATAGGTCCCAAATGTCTCTACACACATTGGGGACAGAAACTCCTTCCACCAAATCCTTCATAACAAGGCACCAGGTTGGCGTTAATGGCGGCCCCGCCAGCTGCACTTACTGACCTACCCTTTGCTACTGGTCAGCCACTGGGAGTGAAGAACATCTGATACCGCTGAGTATGGAAGAGCATGCGACTCCCTCCCCTTCCTCTCAGTGCTTGGTGATTGGCTGCTCAGGCACGGGACTTCCTTCCTCCCCCCCCTGTGCTTGGCTGCTCAGGCACGCCGCTTCCTTCCCCCCCAGTGCTTGGACGCTCAGGCACGCCACTTCCTTCCCCCCCAGTGCTTGCACGCTCAGGCACGCCGCTTCCTTCCCCCGCCAGTGCTTGGCTGCTCAGGCACGCCGCTTCCTTCCCCCGCCAGTGCTTGGCTGCTCAGGCACGCCGCTTCCTTCCCCCGCCAGTGCTTGGCTGCTCAGGCACGCCGCTTCCTTCCCCCGCCAGTGCTTGGCTGCTCAGGCACGCCGCTTCCTTCCCCCGCCAGTGCTTGGCTGCTCAGGCACGCCGCTTCCTTCCCCCGCCAGTGCTTGGCTGCTCAGGCACGCCGCTTCCTTCCCCCGCCAGTGCTTGGCTGCTCAGGCACGCCGCTTCCTTCCCCCGCCAGTGCTTGGCTGCTCAGGCACGCCGCTTCCTTCCCCCGCCAGTGCTTGGCTGCTCAGGCACGCCGCTTCCTTCCCCCGCCAGTGCTTGGCTGCTCAGGCACGCCGCTTCCTTCCCCCGCCAGTGCTTGGCTGCTCAGGCACGCCGCTTCCTTCCCCCGCCAGTGCTTGGCTGCTCAGGCACGCCGCTTCCTTCCCCCGCCAGTGCTTGGCTGCTCAGGCACGCCGCTTCCTTCCCCCGCCAGTGCTTGGCTGCTCAGGCACGCCGCTTCCTTCCCCCGCCAGTGCTTGGCTGCTCAGGCACGCCGCTTCCTTCCCCCGCCAGTGCTTGGCTGCTCAGGCACGCCGCTTCCTTCCCCCGCCAGTGCTTGGCTGCTCAGGCACGCCGCTTCCTTCCCCCGCCAGTGCTTGGCTGCTCAGGCACGCCGCTTCCTTCCCCCGCCAGTGCTTGGCTGCTCAGGCACGCCGCTTCCTTCCCCCGCCAGTGCTTGGCTGCTCAGGCACGCCGCTTCCTTCCCCCGCCAGTGCTTGGCTGCTCAGGCACGCCGCTTCCTTCCCCCGCCAGTGCTTGGCTGCTCAGGCACGCCGCTTCCTTCCCCCGCCAGTGCTTGGCTGCTCAGGCACGCCGCTTCCTTCCCCCGCCAGTGCTTGGCTGCTCAGGCACGCCGCTTCCTTCCCCCGCCAGTGCTTGGCTGCTCAGGCACGCCGCTTCCTTCCCCCGCCAGTGCTTGGCTGCTCAGGCACGCCGCTTCCTTCCCCCGCCAGTGCTTGGCTGCTCAGGCACGCCGCTTCCTTCCCCCGCCAGTGCTTGGCTGCTCAGGCACGCCGCTTCCTTCCCCCGCCAGTGCTTGGCTGCTCAGGCACGCCGCTTCCTTCCCCCGCCAGTGCTTGGCTGCTCAGGCACGCCGCTTCCTTCCCCCGCCAGTGCTTGGCTGCTCAGGCACGCCGCTTCCTTCCCCCGCCAGTGCTTGGCTGCTCAGGCACGCCGCTTCCTTCCCCCGCCAGTGCTTGGCTGCTCAGGCACGCCGCTTCCTTCCCCCGCCAGTGCTTGGCTGCTCAGGCACGCCGCTTCCTTCCCCCGCCAGTGCTTGGCTGCTCAGGCACGCCGCTTCCTTCCCCCGCCAGTGCTTGGCTGCTCAGGCACGCCGCTTCCTTCCCCCCCAGTGCTTGGCTGCTGAGGCATGCGACTTCCACCCCTTCAGCGCTTTGTGATTGGCTGCTGAGGCACTCAACTTCCTCTCAAGTGCTTTGCGATTGGTTGCTCAGGCACATGACTCCCTCCTCCTCAGTGCACTGATTGCCTGTTCAGGAAGCCACTCCTGTCACATGGTACAGTCCTCAGCCCTGAGTAAGATCCAATTCACAACTCACATAGGATTTCCCCCTCTTCTACCCGGCGGCCATTCAGAGCTTTGGGTGGAGGGAACGGAAGGTGAATATGTGCAGCTGGAGGGTCGGCCATTAAACTCAACCTGTTGCCTGGCCCTGTATGGGGCGTAGAGGCAAGCAGCCATTTTGTATTCCCGATGACAGACCCCGTCCCTGGGATCAGACGCTCCGTATTACCTTATCCGACGCGCCATGTGAAGGTTTGATCTTCCCTTTGGCCATCAGCATGGCGTTAATCTTCGCCGCCACGGCGGCCGCTGCGTCCAGAGCCCCCGAGGGAGCGCTGATCCCCTCACCCGCGTTGGTCGCCCCCTTCTCCTCTGCGGGGGGACTGTACAAGTTGGAACCCACAGGACCCACGGGGGCATATACATTGGTGGCAACGGGGGGAATGACCTGCATCACTCCTGGGAGGAGGAGAGTGGTCGCGGTGGCGGGGCCAGGCTGATCCCATTTGCTTCTTCGTCTGCAAATTAAAGAGATTTCAGTTGTGAGAATACAGATTATAACAACCCCCCAGTGCTGGGAACACCACCTGTCTGACCCCCCACCCCCGAGATGGACAAATCTAAGGAGACGGGTAACCACTGGGGATACAAGAAATCCTGGTCAGCCATATTAAAGAGAACCTGTATATAACATGCAGGGAAAAGCAACAGGTTCACTCTAATCCCCACCCCCAGCAAGACAGACTCACTTTCATTGTATTCATCCACCACCAGCATGCACATACCCCGTACTTCCGGGTATGGTGAACCATGTGACATGGCAAGTGCTCAGTGATTAGCCCAGTGCTGTCACGTGGGGTGGGGACCTCAGTCTATAGCTCACACAGGGCTTCCTTGCCTCCCTTCCAAGGGCTAAAGATCCCAATATGCCCCACACACTGTCCCCACCCCCTTCCCTGTGTACACCCGAATACTGCATCTCATTCCCTGTATACAGAGCCCCATAGTACTGCACCTCCCCCCAGGCCCTTTGGGGGGTCCCCCCCGGTATTCGCTCTCCGGCCTCTTACCCGCCAGCCTGCGCGCTCATCGCTGACATGGCGACCGCACAACTCTCGGCTTCTCTTGCGTCCGTCCAGTGACGTCAGCGCGCCCGGATGTCCGGACACGTCCCGCCGTGGGAGGAGCCAGACACCTGCCCGGCCAGTGAACGCAGCGAAACGCTCTCTGCTATGCCCGCCCCTCCGATTCTCCCGGGACCACGCCCATCCCTAATCCTTCACCACTCCCACCTACATAGAGAGTGGCAGCCGAGAAGCCACGCCCACTATGTACTGCGGTACCGCCCCCCGGTGTGTGGACTCCGTGACCAAGCTGCACTCATGTATGAACTTATTACATCCCTACTGTCTGTACCCGTACATTGATCCCTCCTACACCCATACATGATGATTCCCACTCCACTCATACATTGATCCCCACTTCACCCATACATTGATCCCCACTCCACCCATACATTGATCCCTACTATACCCATATATTGATCCCAACTCCATCCATACGTTGATCCCTACTGTACCCATACGTTGATCCCTACTGTACCTATACATTGATACTCCACCTTTCTTCCCCACATCCAATCGCTATCCAAATCCTGCCGCCTTCACCTTCGTAACATCTCCAAAATACGCCCCTTCCTCACCAATGACACCGCAAAACTACTCATCCACTCCCTTGTTATCTCTCGTCTTGACTTTTGCAACTAATCACACTTACCGTCCCCTCCGCTCCTCCCAAGACCTCCTGCTTTCCAGC